GCCTCTAAGGGAATTAACACGTAAGGCCTGGCTCTCACTGGCAGCATTAACCTTGTCTGGGAACAACAAGGTTTCTTCTCTTTAATAACCAACAGGAAAGTAAGTCCTTGAATTCACGATTTCAACAACACACCCATAACAATAAAGGAAAATTTTAGAGTTGTTTTAAGCGGTCACAGCTCAAGAATAAACATACTAGCAAAATGCAATCCACTAAGTGCCAGCCAAAAGTTTCTTTCAATAGGACCCAGGAATTTGAGGAACCTGGAGGAAAAGGCTAAAAGTTGATGATTAAAGGGGGGGTGGATCCCATCAATTCTTTCCACTTGGTTTTAAGGTCTTCACCCAGGATTTTTTCTTCCAGCCACTGATGTTCAAGTCATCCGATCTGAAAGCATGACTAAGGAACTCGGGGGGGGGGGTGTTTAAAGAAAAAGGTCAGCAATTTGATCCTCTGGTGGCCTAGGGATAAGGAGCTGCACGGCCACCCAAAGGCACGTGGTTCAAATCTCCTCGCGTGCAATTAACTGCCTCTGAAAACCTGCTGGAGTGTCAGCTATTCTTTTAATTGGTATAGCACTGTTCTGTCCATCTGCTGTACAGAAGTAACTCATGGTTGGTTGCTGTGAGGCTGAACACTGTGACAGTGACGTGTCAAATGTGAGAATGATTACCCATGGTGGACAGTGTTTGGTGGAGCTCCCCGATTAAAACAAGCTTGGAAGCAGGAGTGGCATCCACTTCCGAAACAGCTTACCTCCAAAATAGCTTGCCTCTGGAAACTATGAACTTGGAGAAACGATGAAAGTTATACAAGTGTTTAGTTCTTTCATTCATAGGGTCGCTATGAGTCATCTACGACTCGACGGCACTTAACAACAATAACAGTAGCGATTTGAATAAATACAAAATGAGAAGGCATGATAGAGACCATGGGTGTGAAGGTACAGACACTTGGGGGGGTCACGGGAGGTCCTTGCACTTCTAGAAGTGGCACAGGGTATGTTCACCACATCAGGTGATGAGAGAGGCAGTCACTAAGAACAACACACATTGTCTATCAGTCATTATCTTAGTTATCCAGTGCTGCTAAAACAGAAATACCACTAGTGGAGGGCTTTAACAAATAGAAATTTATTCTCTCATAGTTCAAAAGGCTAGAAGGCTGAACTCAAGATGCCAGTTTTGTTGTTGCTATTTTAGGTGCCATTGAATAGACTAGGACTCACCGCAATCCACGACTAACAGATCTGAATCTGCCCCTGAGTCCTTTCACTGCATCCTGTGCCATGATCTCTGACATGCTGGAGACGACTGTCACAGTCCATCTTGTTGAGGGTCTTCTGCTCTTTTGCTGGCACTTCACATTTTCCAACCCGATGTCTTTTTCCAAGCAGAGCCCCTCCTGACAACATCCTAAAATACAGGAGAGAAAGTTTCACTTTTTTTTAATGACAGTTCTAGGGTGAAGCTTTCTCTCTGTGGGCTCATGGTTTAGAAGGAAGGCCCATGTTTCCCCACAGCACCTGTTGGCCTGGTATTCCTTGGAATTCTCCGTCTGTCTTGGCCTCAATCTTCCCCTGAATCTAGGTGGTTCAGAGTGCAAGGACCCTGGATGCAAAGGATTCTCTCTGCTCTGAGCTCTTCTTTCTGGGTCTCACATGATCCCTCCACCTCTGCCTGCTCTGTCTCTTTTTATATCTTGGAAGATAAGAGGTGAGGCAGGCTACAGGGCTATGAGGTAGGGAGGCTGCTAAAGCCGCATCCTCTGTAACTCACTGACCAATAATCATCAATCACATCATGGGGCCAATTGCATTGATCCAGAACTACAAAACGACCGAGAGTCAGGATCAAGCCAACTGACACATATTAGTGGGTGAGATAACGTCATTCATGGCAAGCAGTCTTCAAACTTTGTGCACATTTATTTTACTCAATTCTTAAAATACCCAAATGAAGTAAATATTATTTAAAAAAATAAAAACACCTAAAGGGTTGTCATTGATTCTGACTCAAGGCAGTAATTCTGTGATGGAGCCTGTGGCATGTAGGGTTATCGTTGGCTGTGACATTGTAGAAGTTGACCAGGTCTTCTGAAGTACCTCTGGATGGATCCCAATTATCACCCTTTTCACTGGCACTTAAGTGCTTACCCATTCACACCACGGCTTGGTCTGTAGGAAGTTACACAGCTCCCCCAAAAGTGGTGATGCTCTGGCGGTTCAAACGCACCAGCTGCTCTATGAGAGAAAGAGGAACTATCTTCTCCTGTGCTTGATTTACAGCCTCCTAAAATCTCCGAATTGGATTAGTAAAGTCTACTCTCAGGGACCTCTTGAGAGTGAAGAGCAAAGATGTCATTCTAGAGACTAGGGTGCATCTGATCCAGGCTATGGTCTTTGCCATTACACACTATATATCAGAGAACTGGACAATGAATAAGGATAACAGAAGAACTGATGTTTTTGAGTTGTGATGCTGGAGAAGAGTAATGAACATACTATGGACTGCCAAGAGACCAAACAGGGCTGTCTCGGAGAGGGTGAAACCAAGCTGCTCTCTGGAGGCTAGGATTTTGAAGCTCCATCTCACATACTTTGGTCATGTTGCCAGGAGATACCAGTCTTTGGAGAAGGACATAATGCTTGGAAGGGTGGAGGGACAATGCCAGAGAGGAAGACCCTGGAAGAAACGGATTAACATAGGAACTGGGCAGGTGTGTCAGATAGAGTGAGATTGGTTTAGGATAGGACAGGGTTCAGAGCTATTGTGCATTGGGTCCCTAAGAATTGCAGGCGACTCCACAGCACATAACAACAACAACAAAAACCCTCTGGAGGGGCAGCTATGACTTGGTTCTGACTGTATGTCAGTGAATGAGGTGGGTGTCTTGCAGATGGAGGAAATGAGGCCATTAAGCTGTCAGGTGGTGCGGGTGCTGAGTTTTAAACCCCAAAATGATACTACTGGAAGGTGAACTCACTGTTTATTATACCTCAGAATATTGTGACATTTGCAAAATTGTCTTAGATTCTTCCACCTTTTTCTCTCTTGAAGGTCTATTTATTTTGTTAAATACAGCTCAGAAGGGCATGCGGAAGGCACTTTGGGAGACACAGATAGAAATCACATGTGATCTAAGCTCACAGAAGACTATTGTTAGCACTCTGGTGTTCTTCCTTCTAGTCTTTCTTCTCTGCTTCTGCTCCACAGGCCTGTTTAATAGAGCTGTAATCAAATTGACTGTACAATTGAATTCTTTTCTCTCCCATAATATTATAATATGTGCTATGCCATGCTACTAAAACCATCATAAACCCTCTATATTGGCCGTACCACATACCATGACTGCTTTAGAATATAGTCACTATTTTTGTTGGGGTGGACATTTGGCTTTTCCCCAGCTTTTTCATTTCGGGGTGATAAACTTTGTCTTCTCGTCCTTTCTATTTCCCCCTTCTGGTATTTCTTCATTTCTTCCTCAGGCATCCACTAATCCTGAGATCTCTTTATACTTCTTTTCTTCCTTCTCTTGAAATTGCCTTTCTTAAAAGATGATAAACTCATTCATACTAAAGTGCAAATGGTTGATAAAGAATCATCTCTTCAAGGATCCTAGCGTCCATTTAAGTCAAAATAAAGCCCTAATTTTGTGAGATGTTAAATCATCAGGAACTGTAAAAGAGGAGAGAGTTGGTGAGTGTAAAACAATGTTGGGTTCACATAATTTTAGGGCAATGAATCAGAAACTAGCTGAGAGCAGAAGATACCGTGTGTGATAAAGAGAAGGAAAGAGCTTCCCTAGGAGAGGGTATGAAAGGCGAGGGAAGCAGAGGAGAACCAGTGAGCGCAGGGAGCAGTCCTGAGTCTATGTGGCACCACTAACCTAGTTGAACTCAACTCTCCTGTTTGTGACTTGCCAAGACATTTGGCTTTAAGGAAGGGCCCGCCCACTTTCTCCCCCCAAACAGCCTGGTCCGGTTCCAGTCTCAATCCTCTCCCTAATCTCACAGCAGCCACAGCGCAGGTGACAAGGAGCAGATGTGAAGTTGGACCCGTGGTGTCTACAAACAGATGCCCACGTCCCAAGTTTGGGGCAAGAGACAAATCATGCTGGATTCTCGGTCACAGACTAAGGGAAAAAGTTCCTAATACCTACGGTCCGGAGTGGGCTCAGGGGTCGCGTGCGAAGGTCACCAGATCAGGATCAGCACCCAGCACCCTCTCTCTCTTCCTCCTCCTCCAGGCTTCACGTTGGGGAGGGGGGTCCCAAGTCCCAAAGAATTCATTTGCCCCCGTTCGTAGCCTCTCCTCGGCTTCAAGTGTCCCAGGTGCAGGCACTAGGAATAGTTGATGTGGGAAAGGGGGTCAGGATGAAATCCAAATCCGGAAAGGGGGGACGGCCACTCCGCCCTGTGGATTAAGGAAAGAAGGAAAACTCGTGCCCAAACCTGGCAGGGGAGGGCCCCGTGAAAAGACA